GGAGCTGTCAATCTAGAACTAGTGGACCAATGATGATGTTGTAACCCTCCCTGATTTACATCAAACTCTAACCGCAACATTTGGAAGAAGAAACGCAGAATGTGGAATAAAGAGCAAAGGGAAAAACAGCATAAGCATAAGCATTTTTTTTTATCCGTGACTGCAATACATTTGGCGGGAATATGATCCCATAATTTTCCTCTTTTGTTTTTTGTTGTCGCGCGGCATGTCCGTCCTGTGCACTGAACGCTCTCTCGTCCCCATCAGGAGTAGACACGGCCCTTACTGCTGATTGGCTACAAGTTTGTTTTGGTACTCGGCCCAACTCTGAAGCGTTTAAAAAAAAAATACATACCCTAACTTTAAAGGTGCAGTAGCAGGTTATTATTCTTGCTGTCTGTGTTTAAATGTTAATCAAATAAAAAAAAAATACAGAAATCACTCACTGCTCTTTCAGAGGATTAATCAATAATTAGTTAATGCAGTGAAGACTAAGTAGTGTTAGTTCACATTTGATAACTTACATTTCTGAGGCTACCTGAAAAGCATGGGTTATCTTGTATTTTTGTTGCTATTAAATGAAAGAAAATATAAAGAAATAAAATTAACAGTGAAAGTAACAAGCTTGTACAATACATATTAATAGGCATAATTAAGTGTGAAAATAACGGTCACAAACAAGAGACAAGAGGAGTTCAGGTAAACAGAGGGGTTTATTGTCAATGCTGTGATGGTCAGGATCGAAGGCAGGCGAGTAAGAGAGATATGAGAGAGTTCTGGGCATCTTATCTTCTTGGTAATCTGGGTTCTGATAGTAGTAGGAATCCTGGAGATGAACCGGGGCTGAGGAGAATCGGAATAGCGGAGACTGAATTGACTATTGGGGGTAAGGAAACAACAGTTAGTAAAGCATGTAAGGAGTCTGGCAATGTTCAGGTAGTGAACGGTAGACCGGACACTGGAATGCTGAGTGGAGTGAGAAGATATAGCGGGCTTAATTGGTGATGCAGGTGCAGGTGATCAGAATTCGGGTGATTGGGATCTGGTGTGTGTCGGAGGAGGTGACTGTGCTGACGTGAGTGATTGCGATGATTTCCTGACAAACTGAAGGAAATGTCTTCACTAAATGATTTAAGCAAACTAATATGATTCATATTCTTTTTGTCTCTCTACCCAATATTGTAATAATTACAAATGCAATGAAAATACAGATACCAGTATCGGCAAGTAGTAAAAATGAAAGTATCAGTATCAGACTCGTTCTGGAAAAAGTGGAATCGGTGCATCCCTAGTTTTTACAGATACACTAGTACAGTGGTTGGGATTAACATACAATATATTCATGCACTGAAAATTCATGCACACCATTGTTAAAGCAAGAGTAGTCTAAGAGAAGCATGAGTTCAACTATTAAATCTTACTTAACACACTTTGTCTTTAAATATTTTTATATGTCTGCCCAAGTGCGAAGCTTAACATAACTGATGCACCTGCATGAAAAAGTGACTGAATTTGAAACTTTTAGGATATATTCTACTTTAAATTGCAATTCTCACTATTTTAACTGCCAATTAAAACCTGGGCCCGTATTCACAAAACATTTTATCGTACCACTAAGATTTCTCCTAAATAGCAATAAAGTTTTCTACGGAATAGACAGAAGTATTAAGCTAAGAGTAAGGGGGCGGGGGTTGACCTTGTTGCTATGGATGATGTCAGCATACTTACTACTATGCACACAGTGATTCGCTGATAGTCTCTGTCAGAGATTTATTCATAGCAATATTGTAAAGCGCAATATTATGTTGTCAGATAAAGGTTTTAAAATAAAAATTTTAATTGCCACATTCAAATAAAGATTTTAAAATGCAGGTTAAGTGTCACTAATTAAACAAGTATATGTTCAGCTAATTGTCAGCCTCTTATATGTATGCTTCTCGTAAACAATTAGTCAATATGCAGTAGGGCTGCCCTCGACTAAAGATTTTTCTGGTCGACTAGTAGTCGTTCATTTTAAGCATTAGTCGACTATAAGTCGCACTTTTATTAATAATCCATATAAATCATAATAATGAGCCTTTACTTGCCTACATAGCCTGATAAGCGCTCAAGCGCACGCAAAAAAGGCTTGCCACAGCGCACCGGCAAATATACTAATTATGAATGTGTTAAGGAAAAACAGCAAGTACACTGCATTAACGTTTTAATAATTTATTGTTACACTAATGCTTTCTGTTTTCGGTTTAATTAAGAGATGAAGTCGGCGACACTGACTCGTCAACTCCGCAGTATGCGCCTGTATGCATGTTTCATACGGATTACATAATCTGAGAATATTTGTTTTCCATTTGAATTGGTTCATTTAAAAGTTTCTCTCTCTATAGATATATTTTTCATATCTGTAATAAGGCAAGCATACACGGAGTTTCGAAGTGATGCACTCAAGTTCACAGAGACCGAGACGGCAGAAAGCACATCCTGTTTGCTTTCATTAGTTTACAAAAGCGCAACGCTTCGTTGTTATTCTGAGTGCACACGAATAAACGTAGAGTCTTTACAGATACAAAAGATGCATTACTCTTATCTGTACGACCAAAAATTATTAATATATTTTAAGAGCAAATGATCTTTAAGCTGCCATGTAAAGTTGCTACTACATGCATATTTCAGATGATAAGCCATATTTGAGGTCAATGAATGTTAGGTAAGCATATGGATGTCCTGCCCGATGTACTATATTACCACATAAACCAGGGGCCATATGTATAAAGCTGCTCAGAGTAAAATTTTTGTCCTAAGTGTGTCAAAATTCTTAGAATGACGTAATTTTACTCTTATTCCTAGATTTAAGAATAAGAGTGATTCATAAAGGTTCCTAAGTGTTAAGACTAGGTCTCAGCTCCTAAATTATTTAAGAGAGCTGAAGAGGTCTCCTAAACTAGTTAGGAGTAACAAGATGGCAGCACAGAGGAGGAGACGCACACTTTCCAGCGAAGATATGACATATTGGAGATATATGATGATATGTTGATAAAACGATACAAACTTGATTGTCAAGATCAAAAAGTCTTTTTTTTTTGTGTAACTGACAAAAGTAAGAAATTTAATAACCTCTTCCACTCAACAAGTCAATGCTCTAACTGCAGAAATGTAGTAATTAAATTTTTTTGGCTGTAAAATTGGAGAAATGCAGCAATGCACCGGTGATGACACAGTAAGCAGGGTCTTACATATTGTGGCACTAACCCCACCAAACACAACAGTGGCCAAAAGTGATGTGTGGATTTTATTACACTTAAACCACTAAAATACAAAGGGGAAAAAATAACACTGACCAGTGTTGCCAACTGCTTTCAATCGAAAATAGCTAAAACGGGTCACTTAATGTTGCTAGATGACCTCATAAAGGTGAGTTCACTGATCTATATTTATATTTATATAGATCAGTGAACTCGCCTTTATGACGTCATGGTAGAGTCTCGGAATGTAGATAACATTTGTCCAAGAAATTGATTTTGTTATTAGGTTTTTGAAAAAAGTCTCTAAAGGGGTGAGGAAGTGTAGTGACAAAAATCACTAAATTGGCAACACTGGCACACTGACTACAAAATAAGTTATTAATATTTCATTGGTCCTCTTGTTTTTGCATGTGTTCATAATTTCTTTGTATGACAGCATGCCAAAAATTATGACCGCACAATTTGGCATGTTTCATTGCATTATCATCACAAATAAAACAATTGACTCTTAGCAACTATGCAATATGCTTACAAAATCTTGAACATTCATTTATTTATTTATTTTAATTAAGGGTAAAATTTCCTAGCCCGGACCTCACTTTTGGCCACTACGATATGGCAATTAATTAACTTTCCAACTGACTGCCAAACCATATTGCAAAAACAAGCCACTTTTATGAGGATTGTGGGCTTTCATGGAGTTGTTGGAGCCACTGGTTGAAATCATGTTCACATCATTGCTCCAATTGTAAACGAGGAGACATACCAATAGAAAACGAAGCATCAGTAATAATTTGTGATAATTTTGCACAATGCAAAGCATTAAAAAAATACATTTAAATATTAAAATGTTTCAGTGTCTTAATTAAATGATTTCATTGTAGAAACATTAAATGATTGGTGTTGTGCTGCTGTGACTTTACATGTGTAGTCTCACTATTGGCTGATTCAGAGGTTGAGGTCGGCCATTTTGTGTTGATATCATTGTAGTCCTTAGTTCACAACACTTGCTGCTTTTAGCTTCTTTATAAAAGTCTCCTACTCTTAGAAAAGTCCTACTTTTTACTAAGTATTTTTTGATACTTAAGTCAAAGCTTAAGACTATTCTTAAGAGCATTTCTGAGAAGTTTTATACATACGGGCCCAGCCATTAACGATTTGTCCATCACAGCCTGCGTGATTTCGCCACTTATTTTTTTCTTTTTTCTGCAACTAAGCGACTAATAAAATTTTGTTAATATGCATATAAACAGCCTTTTAATTATTAGCAGAGTAGAATAATCATGGCTGATAGTAAGACACGCAAACATAAAAGAAAACCAAACTGGACGCGAGAACAGCTATATATTAAGGATATAATAAAACATTTGGAGTTGGGATAACCTCCAAACCAAAGCCGATACCTTTTTAAAAGCTCATTATTGTAAAAGGTTTCTAAAATTTTTATATTCCGAGGCAGATTGCTGGCAACAGCCATTTTAGGATAGTTCAGATTTGGTCTTAGTGACTTAGGAGTCCTCTTAACACTCCTAACGTTTCACAGATTTAGGAGCTAGTTTTAGTGCTAAAACGCTTTGTGAAACACTCCCAGAACAAAACTTTAGGAGTCCTAAATTTAAGACTGACACGCCCATTATTTTAAAGATTTTCTCCTAAATTGGCGAGTTATGAGCTACTTTTAGCCTTAAGATGTTTTGGGAATACGGGCCCTGTTTTCTACTGCTGTGTTCATGTATTCATTGTTTTTTCCTCCTTTCTTAGTGCCAATTGCAGGTGGGAGAGGGGGATATGAAACCAGCTTTATAACTCCTGTCCTCAGCACCATTAAGAAGATCAAATTTTTTTACGATATACAGGTGGGTAGAGTAACCAAAATTGTATTCAAGTAAAAGGGTAACACTTTACAATATGGGTCCATGAACAATCGTGTACTAATACCAAAATTAATACTTAATTAAAAAACGAACTAATGATTATCGGAATCATTAACTAATCATATGCCAATGAAGAGCTATTCTTAACTACGACTGGAGTCATATTGGATTTACACATGAATAATGAATGCCTTAATTGCATGTTAATACATGCTTGTAAGTTAATGTCTTTAACAATTATGGCTAAACTTAATCAAACAGCCTCTTTAAAAAGGAATAAGTAGTACTATGATTGGGAAACAAATTTAAATCATAATTTGAACTTTTGTCTCCAGGTTTGTCATAAACATTACTGGATTGCACATGTCTAGCTGATCCTCCTCATCAAATGTAGAAACTACTAAACACACTAATATGTGATCTTAATCTGTTTTGTGTAATTCTCTTTCCATTCAAATTCACCCTACTGTGGTTTATGCACAGTAGGCTGAATAAAAAATACAATTAAATCTCAAAACCCACAAAGAACATTTGTGGAAAAGTTCTTAAAGAAATGACAAATGGGATACATCCTATAATTATGGTCAGAACATTTGCTGGGTATCAGTACAGTTCACTCTCCATCCAGACGCAGGTCATGATGATACTGTACATCTGCTCTCTGTGAATACTTATGTTAGTATGTGTGTATTTGAGAGTAAGTTTAAAATAATTAATCAGCAGTATTTAGTAATTAGTTAACAGTGAATTCATTATGATTGGGCCCCGTCAAATACAGTCATGACAAAATAATGCATTAACTAGGCATGAGCTGATGTTAGTGTTTGAGTGAACAATAATCAAATAAACAGGGTAAACAGGTACGAAGAGAGAGAGAGAGAGAGAGAGAGAGAGGGCCTATACTATTGTAAAAACAATATTTACAAAAATGTTCTCCATATTAGAATGTTTCTGCCTAGTGTTTGCGGCTCTGTGATTGGAGGTCCAGCAGTGAAATTACAGAGAGCCAAGCAATAGTAAATCAATGGTAGCCTAATTTTAAAAGACAGAAAAACTGACCAATCATATCTTTCCTCTTGTTATCACTAACTTTTTGACAAGTTCCACCTGCTGTGGGATCTTTATCGAAAATATATATTCAGCATATGCTGATAAACTAACTAGCTATTATTCACATCCCGATGGAAACCGCAAATTATTTATTGGGCCACTGTGGCAATGATAATATTATTTAATATAAACACTGCTTGTTTGTAATGAAGTGTCTGTCGCTAAGTTGTTTTGCTATGAGCGCTGTCATGATGTGTTGGCTTACATTAAACATTACATTTGTTGGTGTTGTGCACAGACCGATTGTGTGATGATGCATTTGTAATGAGGATTTTCTTTGACTTAAATTTAGCTATGTTTTATTTTGGTGATATCAGTCACTCTCGCTGCTCTGTTTTCTTGTTGCATTTCTGAAAGGCGGTCACACACTGGACGAGAAGCGCAGCACCGCTGCCGTGCTATGCGTGACTCTAGGGCAAATTATCACACACCGGACGCGTCGCGTTCAGTTCAAGATGGCAGTCCAAAACCTTGAATCTACTCTCCAAACAGTCAAACATTCACTTCAAGAATGAGCAAGTGGTGTCAATGAGTTTGAAGTTCGGTGATTAAAACAAAACAGAGTAAACAGAATGAGAAAGTGCGGTCTATTGTAGTCAAACCACAGAGGCCAGTGGTGCCGCTGGTGCCGCTGGTGCGTGTGTAGAAAACAATGTGTTCGAATATTAAAGACATGGTGTGGCACAGCACTGCGCTTCTCGTCCAGTATGTGACAGTATTAAGGCTGGAATAGCCTCTTGTTTCAAAGGTGGAATTGTCAAAGATAACTTTTAGAATTAAACTCTGTAAGCTAGGCTGGAAGTCTGTTTTCCTCCCAACGAGGGTAGAGGGCCAAGGTTCAAAAGTCACGGTTCGTGGTTCGCATGGTGTAGTACCTTTATTATTTATTTACATCATTAAACATATTTAGATTCAAAAGAAAGCCCACACATGCCTGTCAAGACAAACATAAGGCACATTTACATGTAAAATATGAAGCATCCATAAGCTAAGAATAAACAATGCATATAAAATCAAATGACAAAACAATACAGTAAATTACTGGACACAACTTAATGAAAAATCCTAATACATCACACATGCAAACGTGACTTTATTTATTAATTTGGTTTACAAAAAAAGGCCAACGAGCCAAGCGAACAGCTAGGGTGCATGACTAATGAGTGTCCCACCAGAAACAAACCCTACATACTGTAGTGCCTGTAGATCTGTCTAATCAAACGTAGAAAGCCGATACCCCGCATCGTTTGTGTCCAGACAAAGAGACACAGACAAATGAACAAACAGAAAACGGAAAATGGAGATATCAGAGAAGGATATATATAAATGAGGTAAATGTATCTAATTAAGAGAGTATTAAATATTTACATCTATAGCTGCTGTGCACGAGCTGATAGTGAGACGCGGAGTGAATTGCGTGCGCAGCGCGGCAGAGACGTGTGCTTGTTGAGTGCATCCTTTGTTCACAGAAATCTCTGGCAGTGCCGACCCTACCTAATAAGCAATATAATCGGTTGCATAGGGCCCCTGTGGCTCAAGGGTTCAGACAGTAATACGTGGTAATAATAATAGCTTTGATAAAGTTTGCTTGTGTCAGTCTTGTGGATTAATATTTAAAAATGAAGAGTAAGTGATGAATTGTGTTTGCTGTATCATGTCTTACCAGTTTAATTTGGCATCCGCGAGCACTTTGAAGACACTGTCAACAAAACAACGGTGCACTGTGTTATCGTGGGCACTTCAAAATATGTTAAAATTTCTGGATGCCTTATTGTCTGAATTGTTTGGATTTTAAGAACGCATATTAGCTTAATTTTCATTGAACAGTTAAATTTTACAACACTGCATGTTTGCTGCATGAAAATTCGGTCTAAAGAAAATCAGCAGGGCTAGATAAAAATGCTAGCTCACTCTCTGACAGTAGGTGGCGCATATGAAACAGCAGAAATACTGTGGTTACCATGGTTATCCCTGTACACCAACATCCTGTTTCTGACTCCTGCTTGTGACTGAGAAGAAAGGAAGTCACAACAGTATTTAAATGTTTTCAAACAGACATTAAGTGGCATTTATCAAACAGCAGCAAATACTTAAATACTTTTAAAACATTTAAAATACACTTATACATTTTTGCATTTTAATCTGGACTAAAATATGGCAGCTCAGAAAATATATTATTTTCTATTAATAATAATAATAATAATAACATATTCTCTATTGTAATTTTTATAACACATTAGCAGGTGTTTTCACCTTATTAAAGCATTAATCTCACTAAACTTTGATACATTTCTCTGAAAGTAGTTTGCTTAAGTAAATATAATTTCATATTTATGCCTTGAAAGATAATTATACTGAGTAAGACAATCTGATAAAACAATAAGGTGTCAGTGTAGGATGTATATGTCGGGGTGGGGGTGGTTAGGTGAAACAGCGGGGACTGGGGGCCCCTTTTGAAAATCTGCTTGGGCCCGCAAAATGCAAGGGCTGGCCCTGATCGCTGGAATGTGTGTAGTTTGGTTGGATATATTACACATATTACTAGTTGTAAATGACGAGAGAGAGAGAGAGAGAGAGAGAGAGAGAGAGAGAGCACGCATTTCTGTTGCATCATGCTGTTGACTGCTGATCACGCACCGAGCACACATGCATCTTTTTGATTAAACCTAAATCGCATACAAGTAATGAACTGTTAAGTGATGTGTGTATAACAAATGGTTCCCTAAATTTTTACATGAAAACGTGTAATTACTGTGCTGATGCACTGGACAGCACTAACCTGTTCAGGACACAGGATGGGACACGCCCCAGACTAATAACTACCACTAATAATTTGATCTGTTTTGATGTTTAGTTTTGACAAAACATACATTTGATTTTATGTTTAGTCAAAACATCTTTTCCCTTACGAAAATTAAATTGAAGTCAAAGTGCCAAATAACATGGTATTACTACAATAACCATGGTTTTTGGTTTTATTTGTAGTAAAACCATGGTTAATTTCCGTAAGGGTTCTTCAGGGGACCACAGTAGAGTTTGCTCCTGGTGGGAAACTCATTAGCGAGGCGCTCTAGCTGTTTGCGTGCGCCCGGCACATTAGCTTTTTGTTGCTATGGTCATGCGTGAATTTCAATATAATACAAACCCGATTCCAAAAAAGTTGGGACACTGTACAAATTGTGAATAAAAACAGAATGCAATGATGTGGAAGTTTCAAATTTCAATATTTTATTCAGAATACAACGACATATCAAATGTTTAAACTGAGAAAATGTATCATTTTAAGGGAAAAATAAGTTGATTTTAAATTTCATGGCATCAACATCTCAAAAAAGTTGGGACAAGGCCATGTTTACCACTGTGTGGCATCCCCTCTTCTTTTTATAACAGTCGGTTGCTTTGGTAAACTAAATTAATAATTAATGTCACGTTTGCATGTGTGTTGTATTGGGATTTTTCATGAAGTATTATTTTGTCATGACTTTACTTGACGGGGCCCAATCATAATAAATTCACTGTTAACTAATTACTAAATACTGCTGATTAATTATTTTAAACTTACTCTCAAATACACACATACTAACATAACAAGTATTCACAGAGAGCGGAGGTACAGTATCATCACGACCTGCGTCTGGACTGTACTGATACCCAGCAAATGTTCTGACCATAATTATAGGATGTATCCCATTTGTCATTTCTTTAAGAACTTTTCCACAAATGTTCTTTGTGGGTTTTGAGATTTAGCCAGAGGGGATGATGGGAAATGTAGTGTGCTGAGATGACTAGTTTTGTGACAGGCATGGTGAAAGGAGCTGGTTAACTGGAGACAGATAAAGAGGCTGTTTGATTAAGTTTAGCCATAATTGTTCATTAATACATTAACTCACAAGCATGTGTTAACATGTGGAGAGCGTGATTTGACCAAGTACAACATGTTCCTGGATCAACATCCTTGTTGATCCTGGAACAACATTCCAATCAACCAATCAGAATTGAGAGATAACTTTCAGGAAATGTCAGTTTTAGGCTTACGATCATGGTTAGGTGCTTCTACACACTTGTTAATCAGCTATCATTTCACACTGATTTTAGGAATAAATTATGGGTAAAGTCAGGTTTAGGGGTGGGGATTGGGTTAAGTCTGGATTTTTGGACAGTAATGTTGATCCTGGAACATGTCTTACTTGGCAAAATCACGGCGACCATTAACATGTAGTTAAAGCTGTCGTTATTCATGTGTAAATCCAATATAACGCCAGTCGTAGTTAAGAAAAGCTCTTCATTGGCACATGATTAGTTCATGCTTTCGATAATCATTAGTTCATGTTGAATTAAGTATTAATTCAGGTATTAGTACATGATTGTTCACGGACCCTTATTGTAAATTGTTACCAATAAAAGTATTAAATGTAATGACAACTCAAATAGCGACATACTGCTTAGCACGATAAGGATTATGGTGAAGTCAGTTAACTTTTTGCTTGTCAGTGTTGTACAAAAATGTAATTTAATGGATTAAAAACAAAAAACTTTTTTCCTGGTTCCGAGTTGGAAATAACATGTTCTTCATTGTCTGTGTTACTGCAGAACTACTTGGTGATCAACAGGTTCAAAGGGATCCAGGCAACTTTCAATGATGGCCACATGTTTACATTTGGTGATACTGAAAATTTTTATAATAAAGAATTGGTATTTGACAATGATAAAATTGTCTCTGCAACATTGTGGCCAGATAAGGATTACCAAAGAACCTGTGGGTTGGAAGTTGTGCTTGAAAATAGCAATGGTGAAAGAAGAACAGAATCCATCAAGTGCAAAGAACTGGGGAATCCTGTGAATATTGATTTGATGACTGGAACGTGTTATGGGATCACGGCCAGATTTGGAAATGACATTGATTCTATGGGCTTATTCTTTATTTAGATGCAGATAAAAGGAATGTCTGTTACTGACAGTCTTGAATTAAACTCATCAAAATTTCTAAAGACATACTGAAGTTAACGCATGTATCAGATTTTTAAAATAAATGTCAAGTAGCAGATTTGCATCAATAATTTTGCTTACAATTTTACTTGATTTCTAGTATCAATCAGATCGTTAGAATGTTTGGTGTTTAGATAAAAGGAACAAATATAACTTAAATTACATTAAAACATAAATTAAATGTATCAAATCTAAGAGCCAATCAATAAACAGTGATTGCAGTAATGGGGTATTCAAAATTGTTTTTGGTTTTATTATCAATTGGGTCCATCTTTATGTGCCTTTTCTTTATGATGGAAGTACAGATAACCTCGATTTACTTATATAATGCAAAATAAAGAGTTTAACTTGATTTGACCTGACACAAGCCTCTGAGTCGTTACTGTGTTTTCATATGACCAGTTATTGTAGTTGCTCACAAATGTATTATTATTATTATTTATTTTATGTTCACAGTAAATGCTTAATTGAATAATAGTGTGCATTAAAAAAAGAAATACTGGCTAGAAAGAATTCAAGCTCATTTTATGATCTACTATAGTCCATATTTCATTTTAAATTTACATTGCTTTACAATGGCTGAGATGTCATTTTGGATGGCAGGGTAACAAAGCAGTCTGAAAACAGCCTTAACTACATCTTCTCAAAGCTGTCACTGCATCAACTGTGTCATGCAGCAGTTTCAATCTCATGTGCAATGGCACACCCAGAAAACGTGTTGAACAGTTAATCTATAACACTGCTGCTCATTCAAAACGGAAGCACAAAACTCAACAAAAAAAGAGCAAATCTCTTCAATTGTAACTAATCAGGCAAACTTGTACTTTATATGCACTCACAGTTCCCATGCCATTAACAATACATTGCTGCATCACTAAAGCAGCTAATGCAATCCATGGGAAAAGAATGATCCGAGGAAAAAAAAAAACTCAAACTGTGGGGCATGGGTCAAAGTCCACAAAAATACTTGATGCTGGTGCTTTGAATGGGTGATGTTATGCATTGCCGAACTGATTTGTGTCAATGTTCAAGCGCCAACGGATCGCCTATGCAAATACCTTAGCACAGACGCAAGCCAGACACATTCACGCAACATGGGAAAAGTAATGTGATTAGCTGTTGTCACTATGATGGTTGTTACATTGTTATAATACATCAGTGAGGATTAAGGGTAGAGTTATGGTTAGGTTATGGTTATACAGCTTGTACAGTAAAAAACATTATTTCAGTGAAATGGGAATCTGTCGTGTGTGTGTGTGTGTGTGCACGCTTAAAGGGATAGTTCACCCAAAAAAGAAAATTTGCTGTTCATTTACTCACCCTCAGGCCATCCGAGATGTAGGTGACATTTTTTTCTTCAGTAGAACATAAAAGAAGATTTTTAGCTTGAAGCGTAGTCCTTGGTGATTCACAGAATACAATTCAATGGCTACATGTTATTGAGATTAAAAATTTATTCAGTTCTCATATAGTGTAATCGTTCAGCGAACCATTTTCATCTGATAATGTCCATGCAGTGAAACCAACAACATTGGTTTACTTAATTGGGCACACTCAATTTTGAAAAAAGGCAACAGCAGCAAGGAACTGCAACTTCAATCAGGTGACAGGAATGGAGAAAAAGAAAAACCTTGGGATGACCTTGGGAAACCAGGCTCAATCAGGGGCCCAGTTCTCCTCTGGCCATTAAACGGACATGGTCGAACATGCATTAGAAACAGATTGTGAAATGGCATCACTCAGAGAATTTCATGCAGTACCTTCTGGTTGAGATAAAGTGACGTGACATGTGGCCAAGTATGGTGACCCATACTCAGAATTAGTGCTCTGCATTTACCCATCCAAAGTGCACACACACAGCAGTGAACACACACACACCGTGAACACACACCCGGAGCAGTGCTTATTTCAGCTACTTATAACATAATGATCAGAGTTCATTATGGAAGTATGTCTCATGGGGCCTGTGCAGAGTACTTGTCTGGTTCTTGTGGTCTTTGCTGAGGATCGGAGCCAATGATTGTCCTGTCGATGAGGTTCTCATAGGGATCCATCTCTAGTTGAGATGGCCTCCGGTGACATTCAGGGCAGCATTGTGGTCATTTCTAGGTGCAGGTCCACCATCTGGTCTGGATATGGTTAAGGCCCGGAACTGGCTGACTGCAGTAACCTTGGGATAAGGATGAGACAGATAAACTAATATTAGTTAGATAGTATTAAAATACATCGGATGTTGTGGGAAGTGTTTCCGGTTGGGTTAAACAACATCAGTCGGTTAATTAACATTGGCATATTTTACAATCTGATAATAGACTTAAATCCCTCCAGGGTCCTCCTCTCACTGTGTTTAAACACGGACATAAATTGAGAGATTATTTGGTGAAATCAGACTTGTCTCCTCCATCTGTTACAACACAAACTTTGTTAACATCTATTCCAGAAGGTAACTATCACTGTGGTGCATGCAATCCATACATACCACTGTACATCGTTTAACCAAAGTATGTTATAAACTTTTCATGAAGACCCTAAAGAATCATACCAACTTGTGGAAAATGGGGATCTGATGTCAGGGGACATGCCCTGACATTTGTGCTTATTTCAGCTACTTATAACATACTATTGTAATTTTTTTGTATTCAGTAAAAAATGTGCTACAATAATATGTGACCAAGATGGATGTAGATGTTTGCATTTTTTAGAAAAAAAAAAGATTATGCATGGTTAGTAAGTTTTGGGACAAAATGTAGCTGAAATAAGGCCAGAAAACCCATACTGAATAGTTCTGAATAAGACTTTTGAGTAATCAGTCTTGTAAGCTAGAATATTTACTTCAAAATTATGTGAAAATCATTCTGACTACTCATTCACAAACAACAATATAATGATTTACATTTTGTAAGTCCGTTTTTGTGTCAGCACTGCTGTATGCGTGGGAGTGATGATAGCCATATGTTTTTATGTGATTTATGCCAGGGGAGACAAAATACAGTCCCCCACTGGCTAATTTTCCCCCATCAAGGTGGAATGCTGTGAGGCACACATCCTGATTTTGCCAAGTGGTTGTTGTGCACTGGCTACCTATTAAGTTCCGTATCAGTTACAAAATATTATTACTTGCCTATAAGGCCCTTAATGGGTTAGCTCCTGTGTACCTAACTAGACTTCTACCACGCTACAATCCATCACGCTCCCTAAGGTCGCAAAACTCTGGACTTTTGGTAGTACCTAGGATAGCAAAGTCCACTAAAGGAGGTAGAGCTTTTTCGCATTTGGCTCCCAAACTCTGGAATAGCCTTCCTGATAACGTTCGGGGTTCAGACACACTCTCTCTGTTTAAATCTAGATTAAAGACACATCTCTTTGGTCAAGCATTCAAATAATGCATCTCATAATCTTGTACTGCAGTTATATCTGATCAAATGCACATTATTATTCTTTAGTTTGGGTTAAACAAATCAATTTCGCTTGGTTGGAACAGCAGCTACGCTAATTATGTCTCTATTTGTTTCTCTGTTTCTGCTGAGATTGACATCCCGTGGTAACTAGGATTTACACAAGCTTCAGTCTGGATCCAGAACACCTGAGAAGAGATGCAACCCCTCAGAGGACCTCAGATGATACCAACCCGGAAACCACATACAGAACTACCACATTCTGCTATAAGTTTGATTACATCATATAATAATTGCTGTTAATAGTTCATTGTCTGTTTTATTACGTCTTAAATTGATTTTTCCGTACATTTCTGCCATATGTACGTAACTGACAGTCACCACTGATAAGCTACCACTAAATATTGTAGAAACTTAATTGGCTGTAAAGTTGCTTTGCAATGATTTGTATCGTGAAAAGCGCTGTACAAATAAACTTGAATTGAATTGAAAAACTTTTTCCTCGTCGAAGCAGAAACCAGGAGATGTTGGGATATCTTTCATACAGAAGTCACTCTTTATTGAGGACTCGCTGTGAGTCACTGCAGTCATCCAAGTCTGACTAAGGCAGTAATACATTGCCGTTTATATACATTTTAAGGGGGCGGGATACATTCAGTAGAGGTGGAGACAATCTAACCCATAGCATGCAAATGAAGTACAGGCAATCAGCCCAACACCGGCATTTTCCCAGCCTTGATCTCATCAGCATAACAGTGTCATTCAAATGCATAGGTGCTAATCCAATCAGTCTGACCGTCCTAATTCAATCAGTATAACTACTCAAAGACTGGGGCAGAGGCACCAAGAGCCATTACAAACAAAAGGTGATGGTCTCAGTAATCTGGTTCATTTGACTAACAATAAGAGAACAGGAATAGACAGGAACCTCTTGCTCCACTTTGCTTAAGATAATCATTTGTCTGATGTCATTTACCTTAAATGCTAAATACAATGTACTTCACCTTAGTTTTTCATGTGATACTATGTCAGAACATAGGATCAGCAAATTTTAAACAGATTCTTAAATTTGTAATCCCACAACACTAATACGTTTCTAATATTCAAATCCGTTAAAGGATTTTTAGGCTGCATTAATTAGGTCAACCAGAACCGGGAACACTTCTCATAACACCCGATGTACTTGCTACATCACTAGAAGAATGGCATCTACGCTAATATTAGTCTGTTTCTCTCTTATTTCGAGGTCACCGTAGCCACCAGATCCAGTCTGTATCCAGATCAGATGGTCACTGTTGTCACCCGGATTTTATCTCCATTCTGTCACCGATGGAGTTTTGGTTCCTTGCCGCTGTCGCCTCTGGCTTGCTTAGTTGGGGACACTTCATTTCCAGCGATATTGTTGACTTGATTGCAAATGATTGCAAAGATACTATTTAAACTGAACTGAGCTGGATGATGACATCACTGAATTGAATGATGAACTGTCTTTAACTGAAAAATGAGTGTTTACTATTGTCATTTTACATTATTGACACACTATTTTCCTAATTAATGCTGTTCAGTTGCTTTGACACAATCTGATTTGTTAAAAGCGCTATATAAATAAAGGTGACTTGACTTGTCCTGAGACCAATATCTTGTAGGATGTTCCTGGGACAACAACTGCACGAGCCAATCAACGTTTATGATGCCATCACGGTGCACTGTACTGCAGTCGATTCTGCCAAAGTTGAATAAAAAACAACAACGACAAAACCCCTCTGTCAAGCATGCCATTTACAAGGTAAGACCAACAAAATGTTTACATTCCCTTATTAATTTACAGCAGTCTGCTACAATGGCTGATGATTATAAAATTAACATTTTGTTTTTTAAATTAGCATTCTTCCACCTTCGAATACAATTGTTGAGTTAAAAGTTGATACCAGTCAAAAGTGATGAGCATTTGGCTCAAAACGAAATTGTTTAATATAATTTTTATAGTCTGTCTAGTGCCTACTAGCTACATACAAAAAACTAAACTGAGCTACAGACTGTGACAAAATGGTCGCATTTTTCTGCCGGTGTGACAAAGTTTGTGAGTGCACGCACTGGTGCCAAGGCAAAGTTGACCAAAATCTCATTTATTGGAGCCATTTCTGTTGCGTATGAACAAAACAGCACAAGTTTGAAAAGCGTTCAGCTTGGTCCAACAGAGAGTGCAGCAAGATGCTCTGCGAGACCCAGCGAGAAGCGTTAAGAATGTTACTAAAAATAACATTAAAGAGGTGTGAACTTGCAAGTATGATGTCAGACACTGTAATACGCTCTGGTCCCCTCCCTGCTTACCGTGGTGATGAGATACAGAGCAGACTGTCGTCACTCAATGGCTGGATGTCTAAGTGGTGTCCGCAGAATAACATAGGTTTCATAGATAATTGGACAAGTTTTTGTGGCAGACCTGACCTGTTGAAAAGGGATGGTCTTCATCCCTCCTGGGGTGGTGCCGCTCTTCTGTCTAGAAATATGTCACATAGTATTAGAGTTTGTACTTGACTAACTGGGGCCCAGGTCAGGAAGCAGACAGACTGGCTAAACCGACCGTCTGCTAGCCGCCTCACGTCACAGAAATCAGTTAATTCTCAGCACATAGAAACTCTTTCACCTAGATATCACACTATAGAGACTGTGCCTGTTCCCTGAACTAGAAAATACAAAAAAAGTGTCCAAACCAATTTAAGAGTAACAATTTAATTTAATAGATGTTCAACAAATAAAAAACAGATGCAATACGGATAAACAAATGATAAAGCTTGGCTTATTGAATATCAGGTCCCTTTCTACGAAAGCCCTTTTTGTAAATGATATGATCACTGATCATATACTAGATGTGCTCTGTTTGACAGAAACCTGGCTAAAACCTGATGATTACATTATTTTAAATGAGTCTACCCCCCAAGATTACTGTTATAATCATGAGCCGTGTCCAAAAGGTAAAGGGGGAGGTGTTGTTTCAAATAATAACAATGTTTTCAGTATTCCTCAGAGGGTGAAGTAATGGTGCTTCATATAACATTATCCAGAGAAACAAGTGTTAATGATAAATCCCCTGTGATGTTTGTACTGGCTACTGTATACCACCAGGGCACCATACAGACTTTATTATAGAATGTGCTGATTTTATATCCAAGTTAGTGCTGGCTGCAGATAAAGTTTTAATTGTTGGTGATTTTAATATCCATGTTGATAATGAAAAAGATGCATTGGGATCAGCATTCATAGACATTCTGAACTCTATTGAGGTTAGACAACACATCTCAGGACCTACTCACAAAAATAAAGCATCAACAAGTGTTGACATTTCCCAACAGCATAGCAGTAACGACTTTATGAACTACTTTATTTCCAAGATCGATACTATTAGAGATAAAATTGTAACCATGCAGCCGTCAGCTACAGTATCACATCAGATAGATCCCCTGAGGAACAATTCCACTCATTCTCTACTATAGGAGAGGAAGATTTGTATAAACTTGTTAAATCATCTAAACCAATGTACAGTATGTTAGACCCTATTCCATCTAAGCTCCTAAAAGAGATGCTTCCAGAAGTCATAGATCCTCTTCTGACTATTATTAGTTCATCATTGTCATTAAGATATGTCCCCAAAACTTTCAAACTGGCTGTTATTAAGCCTCTCATCAAAAAACCACAACTTGACCCCAAAGAACTAGTTAATTACAGACTGATCTCGAATCTCCCTTTTCTTTCAAAGATACTAGAAAAGGTAATATCCTCACAATTATATTCCTTCTTAGAATAAGAAAATTCTTAGAAAAATGGTATCTGTGAGGATTTCCAGTCAGGATTTAGACTGTATCATTGTACTGAGACTGCTCTCATTAGAGTTACAAATAACCTGCTCTTATCATCTGATCGTGGTTGTATCTCTCTATTAGTGCTACTGGATCTTAGCGCTGCGTTCGACACTATTGACCACAACATTCTTTTAAATAGAATAGAAAACTTTGTTAGCATTAGTGGAAGTGCATTAGCATGGTTCAAATCTTACTTATCTGACCGCCATCAATTTGTAGCAGTGAATGAAGAGGTATCATATCGATCACAAGTGCAGTATGGAGTACCTCAAGGCTCAGTAGTAGGACCGTTACTTTTCACACTTTACATGTTACCCTTGGGAGATATTATCAGGAAACACGGTGTTAGCTTTCACTGTTATGCTGATGATACTCAGTTCTATATTTCTTCGCAGCCCGGCGAAACATACCAATTTGAACGGAATGCATAGTCGATATAAAAAACTGGATGACTTACTGCTTACTGCTAAGTAATCCTTACTGCTAAATTCGGAAAAAACAGAGGTGTTAATTATAGGACCTAAAATCCACACGTAATAACCTAGAATACTGTCTAAGACTTGATGGCTGCTCTGTCAATTCTTCGTCATCAGTTAGGAACCTATGTGTGGTATTTGATAGCAATCTTTCCTTTGAAAGCCACATTTCTAGCATTTGTAAAACTGCATTTTTCCATCTCAAAAATATATCTAAATTACGACCTATTCTCTCAATGTCAAATGCAGAAATGTTAATCCATGCGTTTATGACCTCAAGGTTAGATTATTGTAATGCTTTATTGGGTGGTTGTTCTGCACGCTTAATAAACAAACTCCAGCTGGTCCAAAATGCAGCAGCTAGAGTTCTTACTAGAACCAGGAAGTATGACCATATTAGCCCATTTCTGTCAACACTGCACTGGCTACCTATTAAACACAGTATAGATTTTAAAATCTTGCTTATTACTTATAAAGCCTTGAATGGTTTAGCACCTCAGTACTTGAGCGAGCTCTTATCGCATTATAGTCCTCCACGTCCGCTGCGTTCTCAAAACTCTAGCACTTTGATAATACCTAGAATATCAAAATCATCTGCCGGCGGAAGATCCTTCTCCTATTTAGCGCCCAAACTCTGGAATAACCTACCTAACATTGTTCGGGAGGCAGACACACTCTTGCAGTTTAAATCTAGATTAAAGACCCATCTCTTTAACCTGGTTTACACATAACACACTAATACGCTTCCAATATTCAAATCTGTTAAAGGATTTTTGGAATAACCTACCTAACATTGTTCGGGAGGCAGACACACTCTTGCAGTTTAAATCTAGATTAAAGACCCATCTCTTTAACCTGGTTTACACATAACACACTAACACATTTCTAATATTCAAATCCGTTAAAGGATTTTTAGCCCGTATTAATTAGGTCAACCGGAACCGGGAACACTTCCCATAACACCCGCTGTACTTGCTACATCGCTAGAAGAATGACATCTACGCTAATATTAGTCTGTTTCTCTCTTATTCCGAGGTCACCGTTGCCAGCAGATCCAGTCTGTATCCAGATCAGATGGTCACTGCAGTATCCAGTACGTATCCAGCCCAGATGGTGGATCAGCACCTAGAGAGGACCTCTACAGCCCTGAATGTCAGCGGAGATCTGGCTTGCTTAGTTGGGGACACTTAATGTCCAGTGATATCGTCGACTTGATTGCACAGATACTATTTAAACTGAACTGAGCTGGATGATGACATCACTGAATTCAATGATGAACTGCCTTTAACTGCAAAATGAGTGTTTACTATTGTCCTTTTGCATTATTGACACACTATTTTACTATTTAATACTGTAAAGTGCTTTGACACAATCGGTATTGTTAAAAGCGCTATATAAATAAAGGTGACTTGACTTGACTTTCACTTCTATCAGACACACTATTTGTGGTCAAAAAGCCAAAATAAAAAGCAAGATGCTGTAATGTGGAAAAACGCATTATTTATTAGATGTACTAAATCAAACTCCAGCAGAGTCTCAGCGTCCTCGCTTCGCTCTTCCTCTGAAGGAGCCGCCCTTGATCTTCTTCCTCACGCCGCTCGACTGTTCTCCGTCATCAGCCGCTTCCTCGTCTGCTTTGGACCGCTTCCTCTTCTCTGAGCTTTCCTTCATCTCCTGACACAGAAACAGACACACATGCATTCATCAGACTCACCTTCATCAGAGCTCTCACACACAAACACAGAAGGAGCACGTACGATCCGAGCGAATCTCTGCGCTTCGCTCACTCGCTCCAGCAGCATCATTACTTCCTCTTCCTGTGTGGGGAAGCTGGGCAGTTTCTTCCCGATCAGCGCTTCGATTCGCTGGAACAGCTCCACATCATACCTGCACAAACAGAGCGTGAGAACACAATGATAGAATGTGTCTAACATTCTTTACTAACACACAGACACTGAAGAATTAAACTAAAAAAAACAAAAACTTGTTCATAAATCTGTGATTCTGACATCAGATCAACACGAGTGTTCATGAACAACGATCTGATCAGATGATTTCATGCTAATGCTAATCACTTTTACTCAGGGAATATTTGTGATCCTGCAGCACAAAAGCAGTCATAAGCAGCACAGGAATATTTGTCAAAATTATCAATTTTTCTTTTATGCCAAAAATCATTAGAATATTAATTAAAGATTAGGGCTGCACGATTAATCGAATGTGATTGTCGTGCGCATCTCATCAGTAAAGCGGTTCTGTGATCAGTAGTAAATCTCCATCACCTGCTTTCAGATGGAGCAGCATTTACTACACAGAGCTGTAGTTCTCTGGGCTTCTTCTGCTAGGTGTATTTGGAGTTTCTCTCAATATTTAGATTTTTTTTGCTCCCTCAGATTCCAGATTTTCATAGTTGTATCTCAGCCAAATATTGTCCTATCCTAACAAACCATATATCAATGGAAAGCTTATTTATTCTGCTTTCAGATGATGTACAAATCTCAATTTAAAAAAATATCAATGTCAAAAAACTGACCCTTATGACTGGTTTTGTGCTCCAGGGTCACATTTGTAAAGTAAGAAAACAAAGTTTATCAGTGGTTGAGTGAAAGTCACACTACCAAAATAAAGCTAGTGAAATCACAGCTTCAGTTTGATTCACACTGAAAACCAAAAAACACATCCAGAGAAACACAAGCATGATTTACTCTGGGCCTTCAATTATTGAGAAGGATTACAAATCTTGGCTGGACTGCAGAGTGTGTCATGAATTATCTCTTCTGAGTAACCCTAACTCAAACGGCGCTCACGAGATAGAAAGACTGAGACTGACTGTGTGACGAAGGTGATGGATTTCCCAGATCTCTCTGCTCTGGTGGTGCGGCCCACACGATGGATGTAGTCCTGAGAGAAAACAGATTCATGTCAGCACAACACAACATCATTTGCTGTCGAGATGAGCATGAATTCACACCAAGAATCACATCTAACGCCAGCATTTTCACTGAGCTAAACAAACAAACAGCCAGTAATAAACACAATCAAGAGGAGACAGAGTTTAACTGGTGAAGTTATCCGTGACGCTCCACAGACCCTGTGCAGGAAAGAGAAATGATTAGCTCACCTCTCGAGTCTCAGAGTCGTTCTTGAACACAGAAATTAATTCCTCTTACATACAAACACACACACACACACAGTTTTTAACAGTTACCTGATGCATTTCTGGTCTCAAACTGCAGCTTTTATTTCTTACAATTTACACTAACGGTCAAAAGTTTGGGATCAGTAAGATTTTTAATGTTTTTTTTAAATAAGTCTCTTTTGCTCACTAAGCCTGCATTTATTTGATCCAAACTACAGCAAAAACAGTAACATTTTGAAATATTTGTACTATTTAAAACAGCTGTTTTCTAAGTGAATATGTGTTAAACTGTAATGTATTTCTGTGATGCACAGCTGTATTTTCAGCATCATTACTCCAGTCTTAAGTCTCACATGATCTTCAGAAATCAGTATAATATGCTGCTTTGCTGCTCAAGAAACATCTTTGTAAACATTTATACATTTAGCAAAATGTTTTTGCTATACTTTAGCAGAATTCTTCTTTAACAAACATTAAAAATCTTCCTGTTCACAAACTTGTGACAGGTAGTGTATGCTTTTGTGAATGTCTGTCATGATGGTTCTTTTCTATAACACTGAATGTGAGTAATAAAGAGTTGATGAATGTTTTAAACTTTATCCATGTGACGGGGGAAATCTCTCTGATAAAGCAAAGGTGCCTTCATATAACAACAACACACAGTTAATTCATAGGTTTCATGTGACGTCACACAGTGTTGCGGTGTTCTGGGCTGTGATAACAGCCAATCACAATGGATTATTTACCAAGAGATGTGGATGCATGGGATTCTTTTGATTAAATATTTCTCGTAAGCATAGATGTGTTTTTACATGTTAGTTAATGAAACTTGCAAAAGGTTAAATTTGTGTGCGAGACTACTGATTTGCCAGAAAACTTTCGTTATGCTCCACCTAAAGCTAATAAATCAACGAGATGTTTTTGATCTTTGATCTAAGTACAGTTATGTGAGTCTAGTTACGCTGCACTAAACTTTGACGAACATCACCGTAGCACCATTTTGGAGAATATGAGCCGAACGCAGGCAGCATACGCTCTTCTGTGTCAGCCGCGACACAAGGATACGTTTTCTACGTGTATTTACGCTGTGATTTGAAAGAAAACAGTGCATCCGTGCAGCGCAGCTGACACAGAAGAGCCACTTTTCTGGACCTTGACAGCAAGTTACTTGGCAGTGAATGTGACAGTCACAAGCCTCTCGGTTTTCATTCAAAATATCTTAAACTGTGTTCCGAAGACGAACAAAGCTTTCACGGGTTTGGAACGACATGAGGGTAAGTGATTAATGACTAAATATTCATTTTGGGGTGGAGTTACTCTTTAAGAGTCAATTTTGTGAAATTGAGATGTATGCATCATCTGAAAGCTGAATAATTAATCTTTCCATTGTTGTATGGTTTGTTAGGATAGGACAATATTTGGCTGAGATACAACTATCTGAAAATCTGGAATCTGAGGGTGCAAAAAAATCTAAATATTGAGAAAATCATCTTTAAAGTTGTCCAAATGAAGTTCTTAGCAATGCATATTACTAATCAAACATTAAGTTTTGATATATTTACGGTAGGAAATTTACAAAATATCTTCATGGAACATGATCTTTACTTAATATCCTAATGATTTTTGGCATAAAAGAAAAATGTATAATTTTGACCCATACAATGTATTGTTGGCTATTGCTACAAATATACCCCAGCGACTTAACACTGCTTTTGTGCTGCAGGTTCACATATACCAATTTGTTTTTCAAAACACCTTTTACATTTTTTTATGTTTTAACCTTTATTTATTAAATGTTACAGTCCAAGTGTACATATAAATGCCTTATGCCTCAAGTAAATGCATGGGTAAATTTACATTTATCTAAACATTGTATAACTGCAGCTTTTTTGCTGTAATTGCATGGTTTTGTAAATAAATTTTGTAAATACATTTTCCTCATGCCAGCTTGGTCAAGCGAGTTCTTAAATGGACTTTAAAATTGCTTTCATAATAATGAGATGTTTATAGATTTGTTTAGTCGTGTTATGTATTATAATCTATATAATTAAAATGACAGGTTTTGTCTAGGTAACATTATCAATTTTAAATGAAATATTAATGAGCAGTACAGCAGATCTAGAAATGAAACTGGGCTAAGTCAAGCTTGGATGCGGCAGTGTCTGCGAGTTACGGTCCGGTGGATTCGGCCCAGAATCATCTGTGAGTACGCAGGCATCCGGGCCGATGGACAAGTCTCTAGCAAGTGACAATTTAACTGAAAATGGTGTGTATGAGTGTGTACGAGGTAGATGTAAACAGCCTATCAGCAAACGTCAAGTTGGTAAGTTTTCACTCGACTTTAGTGGAGTCAGCAGCTGCTTGACAGTAAATAAGGATCTAATCCTAAAGTATCTATTTTTTTTAAATACCATTGTTTTCCGTTGTTGGTGAAGTGTTATTTTGGTTTCCGATCACCAAGGAGAGGCTACGCAAGGTCCTAAAGATGGCGGCCACAACAAAAAAAATCACGTGACTGAAACCCATGAATATGCAATGTTTGTGTTTGTTACTGATCCAGGAAGCAGCACGTGACAGAAGAACGAGCGACTCAAACCTGATGAATCGAGAGATGATCTACTCAATTCTGTTTCCGCTACAGACTGCATAGCTTCAGTTTATGGTGATGTGATGTGACAAAAGAAGGAACGACTCAGATCAGGAGGTGAGGGAAACTTGACAGCAGACCCTCGACTGAATTAATTGTTTCTGTTTCTCATCATTTGGCCTTGGTTGCATTATAGTTTACTTTTCTATTTCTAAATGTGATCAACGTCATGTAAGTAGATGCGTTGGGGAATTTGGCTATAACATCTAACATTTTAATTATATTCTGCTGAAACGAACGAAATTGCTTGGAAAAAAGATCAGTTCATTCTGCTGAACGAGACTCAAAGATGTGAGTCAGTAAAATGATCTGAACTTCCCATCACCAATATGAACATAAATCATCATTCACACTGTCTAATAATAAAGTGCAGATCTAATATCAGATCATTTACAGTCACGTAAAGGAGCAGTTTGATTATTCATGTAGCGTCTGGAACAATCAGACACACCATTTTTCATTTGATTTAACAAATCAATTATTCATTAGATTAACAAATCGTCACAGTCCCCTCACCCAATATGTTTAGTATCTATGAATTCGTATTCGGATGATCTAATTGAGAGTGTATATTGTATGTTTACACCTACGCAACATATTAGTGTTCTAAGAGTCTTTAGTCATTTTGATTTAAGTTTCATATGCAAATTACCATGCTTTCAAACAAAGGGCCATAAAAACGCCCCAGTATCTCAGAAATCCCACTTGAGATTCCGGACTTTCTCATTGGACAAGCCCATCTTGAGAGGCGGGAATCTTCTCCGACCTTAAAAGCCCACACCAAGGACCCTCTTGGAGTCGGTGGTTTGTTTTAATTCTGAGAGGATTGGAGAGAAACGCACCCGGAAACCCTAAGCTCATGCCAGGCTTCGGCTATGTTAGACCAGTTTATGTGTTTATGTAGTATGTTAGACTAGTTTAAGTGTTTATGTAGTTAATAAAACCTTACTTGTATCACACTTGACGTGGTTCATTGTTTGCTCATAACTGAGTCACTTAATCATGCAGATTTATGCTACAAGCTTTTGTAGAATTGTACAGTAAGGAAGTTATTTCCCTTAACCAGGAAATTAACGTTCTTAGAATTGACAAGACAGTTGACCCTGAGAGGTCAGCTAAATATCTACAGCGGATCTAAAATATTCATAATTAATTATAACTAGTTATGATTAATTATTTATATTTCCCATGAGCTGATTCGTTACATTCATCATCATTTATTCACCTCCTGTCATTTAAACCTGTGGAACTTTCATTCATTTTTGAAACACGAAAGAAGATTATCTTTATATATGTTCTCTCATCATTTCTGTTCCTCCAATGAAAGTCTACAGATATTAATGATATCTTCTTTAGTGTCCTACAGAAGAGCTGTGGGTGCTGCAGCTGTTTCACTGCACTGTGGCAATGACAAGCCTTGAATTCTGTTCATAAAACTACTCTAAAGATGACTTTCTTCTCATGTATTGTTGACTTCTGGATCAGAGCGCTGTCAATCACTGCCTGATTCACTGTATTATTATAGCCTCTAATTCTCAACACCACTGGTTCGAAGCGGTAAAGCCTTTTAATCACGCCAATAAAGCTGCTTGAATCTGAATTTGCTTGTCGCTGATTGTGATGCAGATTTTTTCAAACAGAAGATACACAACTCGACAGACCGTCTCTGTTCATGCTAAGAAAACACTAAATTATATATTTTAAAATATCGCTCTGTCACGTTTAAAAATATGATTTCTCTGTGTCCAGATTTGACTGCAAAATTTTTAATAATGTATGAAAATATATCCAAACCTAATATAAGTAATGTACTTCATGTCTTACGTTCTCACTCTGCAGTAAAAGGTTTATGTATTTATATACAGGGCTATACAGCCATCTAGTGGTTACACAGTGGTATTGCAGACAATAAATTTAGAGCTTAATATTTAGAAAAGTATCTTTAAAAATTTTAAAGAAAAATAAATTATTCAGCTGAAATCACAAAAGTGTGATTCTTTGTCTTCATTATTTTGTATGTTCCTCTATAAGTGTCTGGGCTGTTCAGTGTTCCCACAGCCCTGCATTCAGGCTTGAATCTGATTTGATCACAGCAGAGTAAAGCGTGTGTGAGTGAGTGAGTGAGTGTGTGTGTGTGT